CCCAGTCTCAGCACGCCCTGGGAGATCAAAACCCGGCTGCTGTGCTCTGCTTAAGAAAGTGCTTTAGTCCACTGAGCTATCTGGCCAGCCCTATCCACTTCGTTTTTTTTTTTGGCAGAACCGGGGATTGAACTCAGATCCTTGCGTTTGTCAGTCAAGTGCTTATCCTACTGAGCCATCTCCCCAGCCCCTCCACTTTTATTTTTAAAGGAAAATTAGAAAGTGTACTGAGACAGTAGTATGTGAAAACTTATCTATTTACAGTATCAAATTACTATTTCTATGTGGTAGTGCATACAATTATTTAGTAAAAAGAGATTAAGGATGTTAAATAGAATTCAGTATAAGCTTCTATTTAATCTAGTCTCAGGATAAAAAGAAATGGCAACAATAGTGGAATCTGATAGCAAAAGTGAAGAGTAAAAGGCAAATACTTCTAGGCCTGGTACGAGAGTGAGAGTAGGCAGTGCGTCACAGCGGAAAAGCATGGGGCTTTGAGACAAAATACAAGAGCCTTTGCTCTCTTTGTACAGAATGGTGGTATCAGATTAGGTATTTTCAGTGCTCTTTGAGTATATATTCAGTGCAAATCTGTGAAAATTTTGGCTTGCCTTCTCCACGGAAAGAGAGTTCAAATAGACTTTCTGATAAGATGAGTAATGGCATGTCAAGTGTCCAAATGTCCACATGTTCCTCCCATCATGAATGTATTACCTTATCTGGCCACAGAAGCCTTGTGGATGTGCTTGTGCTGGGTGACCCACAGGGACCCACGTAATCACAGAGGTCCTTGTAGGAGGAGACACGAGGGATGAGGCAGAAGGGCTAGAGACACAACTGAGGAAGCTGAGGTCAAAGGAATGCGGGCCATTTAGAAACTTCTTGAAGTCGAGAAAGAACCAATAGAAGATTCTATTATTTAATTAATTAATTCATCCATTCATTCATTTTTTAAAAAATTTTTTTTTATTTATGTGTGTGTGTGTGTGTGTGTGTGTGTGTGTGGCCAGCTCAGCCCACCAGGGGGAGGGGCTGGCTGGCATGTGGTGCTGGGGGATTGAACCGCGGTCCCTGATGCTTTGCCAAGCTTGTTCTAAGTAGGTGCTTTAGACCACTGAGCCATCTCACCAGCCCCAATTCATTCATTTTTTGAGACAGGGTCTCACTATTTAGTCCAGGCTGGTTGGTTTTTTTTTTTTTTTGGTAGAACCAGGGATTGAACTCAGACCCTTGTGCTTGCCAGGGAAGCGCTTATTCTGCTGAGCCATCTCCCCAGCCCCAGGCTGGTTTTGAATTCACTATATAACTCAGGCTGATTTCAAACTTGCAATGATCCTCCTGCCTCAACCTGGGATTACAGGAGTGTGCCACCATGCCTGGCTTTTTTTTTTTTTTAAGGACATAGATTGTTGCCTGGGGCCTGTAGAAGAAACAAAGCCTTTGACTTGAGCATACTGGCTGATTTTACACTTTGAATTTTCAGAGTTATTAGATAATAAAATTGTTTCAAGTCTCTGAGTTTTAGTAATATGTTACAGCAGGAAGAGGAAAGTAACGCAGGATTAATGGTGTGTTTTGCTAAAAGAAGATAAGTTTCTTCAGGTATTCTGTGGGGTCATTTGGTTGATCCAGTTTTTATAATTATAGTTTCTGATTAAGCTTTTAAATTTCCAGTAATTATTGCTTAATGATAGAGAAATAAATGAAGACTTAAAAGTCACTGCGTACTCTAAGTCTGTCCCTGTTTTTTCACTTCCAGTCTTCCTAGTTTGCTCCCTTGAGCTTTCCAATCACTCAGTGATTCCATTTCACAAACTCTCTTGGAATAAGAGCTCAGAACCAAAGCGTAGGTTGATACTAACACCAAAAATACCTTCGCAGAGCAGGTGTGTGGTGTGTGTACTGGGGAACTGCCACACTGAGGAGACTGAAGAGCAGTGTACTCACCAAGCCCACGTTGACCTCGCATTCCAGCATCCCAGGACTTGTTTTAAGGAGTGGCAGGACACACGATAGGTTGACTGGTTTAGTTATAAAACAGGTGTGACATCGTTGGTATTTTTCTTTTCACTGACATATGTGTCATTCTTTATCCTTGTTAAATTGCTTTTATTGCACTGGTACCTTCGTCAGTGTTTCAATTATTTTAGGAGTCGCCGAATTGTCCTGGCTCCTCGGGATGGGTGGTAGGACAGGATGTGGTCATGCTGGGAGATCTACCCTAACACCGCTGGACAAGGGCCTTCATTGCATTTAGGATTTTCGGGAGTAAACCTGATCTTTCTTGTCTCTTGTTTTGTAACTATCAGCTAGAGATAAAGAGGCAAAGGGCAACGATGCTCAGACAAGTTTGGATAAAGATTCCTTGAGGTAAGTAGTAGGTTGTGAGTCACGACTAGAAGAAATCAGGCTTTTCCTTGGACTGGAAGACCTTGAGATGAGGGAATATGTCTCGGTGTAGAGAAGTCTTGAGGGATACTAGACCCATAAGAATTTGCAAGAGGGGCTGGGGAGATGGCTCAGTTGAATAAGCGCTTGCCTGGCAAGCACAAGGGCCTGAGTTCAATCCCTGGTTCTGCCAAAAAAAAAAAAAAAAAAAAAAAAAAAAAAAAAAAGAAGAAAAAAAAAAGAATTTGAAAGAAATTAAGCAATGTATGCTCATGTACCTAATCCCTGCAAAATTTTTTTTTTTCTTTTTGCAGAACACCTCTTTGAGGTGGTGTTGGTGATCAGATGGCAATGAAGTTCTAATCCAGTTTGCAGTCCAAAACTTGCATGAGCTTTGTCAGCCTCCAGCATTCTTTCTGTTCTTTTGGCTTCCATGGGTTTTTTGAGCTATTTTACTTGGACCTCTGTCTCGTCTTTCTTCTTTTACGCTTCAGCCTGTGCAATCGCTTCTTCCTCCACTTGGCTCTCATGGCGCAGAGGTTCCTAAGAAGATGGCGTAAAGTCGAGAGCTCCCTGCCTTTTTTCTTTCTTCCTCTCCTCCCTTATACAGTAAAACTTACTGAGTCCTCATTTAGCTTCTTTTTCAACTACAGAGTCCCATGTTTTAGGAAAAAGCTCAAGAGTTAGTGGGGCTCTTAAACTGTATGCAACCCTGAGCTGTGGCATCGCTGAGTGGTCCAGTGCGGGCTGTGGCTGCAGAACATCCTTAAATGCTTTGGAAATAGGAATAGAAACACTCACTGTTTCTAATTGGAAAGGACAGTGTTTCCCTGACTTCCGCAAGTGGGCTAGATGTTAATCTGTTCAAGGGGTGAGGAAGTCTTGCAGGGGTTTATCTGCCCACCCAGAAGGAGTCAGGGCTGGGGCGCACCTGCCTGCCTGCTCGCCTGCAGGTTCTCCTGCACCTTCACACCAGCTTCCTTTGCTGCTGTGTATCCTTCGCTGAGAAGAGAGGGGACCAGGAGCTGTGTATTTCTTCACAGAAAAACGGCAAGGCCGGCAATGGTGGTGGCTCCAAACAATTCACCTGATTCTCAGCCCTCAGCCTTACTTTACAATTTTATTTAAAAAAATACATCAATGAGGGACTGGAGAGATGGCTCAGTGGTCTAAAGCACCTACTTGGAACAAGCTTGGCAAAGCACAGGGACCGCGGTTTGATTCCCCAGCACCACATGCCAGCCAGCCCTGCCCCCAGGGGGGCTGAGCTGGCCACATTCACACACACACACACACTAAATAAATGTAAATAAATAAATAAATAAATTTTAAAAATACATCAACGATTTTAATTGTTTTCACAGATTTCAGAAAGGATGCATTAGAGAGATTAGCTGTTGAGGCCACTGAAAAAGGAATAAAATACAATTATGAATGACGGGATAAAGATGATTGAGAAAAGATGGACGTACATATGCAGTTATATGTCCATTGTCCAAAATGATCATAACTATTATGTGTCACTACTGTACACTAATAAAAAAGAATAAAGACAAAATCACAAGATGACATTTATTTGAGTAAATGGAAATTGTGATTCAGTTTACTAGCATTGTCATTTACACAGGACATGTAATCACGTATATATTATATCATGTATATATATATATATATATATATATAGGATTTAAACATATTATTTGATAAGAAGGGCTTTTTAAAAAATTTATTTATTTGTGTGTGTGTGTGTGTGTGTGTGTGTGTGTGTGTGGCCAGCTCAGCCCACCAGGAGGCGGGGCTGGCAGGCATGTGGTGCTGGGGGATTGAACCGCGGTCCCTGTGCTTTGCTAAGCTTGCTCTAAGTAGGTGCTTTAGACCACTGAGCCATCTCAGCAGCCTGAAAGAAGGGCTTTTTAAAATTTTTTTCCACTCACAGTAGAAGTAGCTTTTAAGTAAATAAGCACACATGAACAGATGACCCAGTGACTTACAGCCCGGCGTAAGGTGAGGAGGCACCTCCCTAACTGGAATAAAAGGCACGACTGAATTCTGCCAGAGAGCTTACACTGCAGGCCTCTCCACATCCCTCTCCCTGGTAAAGGGGAATAATAGAATTTGGAGAAGCAGTGGATTTTATTGAGAGAATATACTTTTTTTTTGTGGCCGGCTCAGCCAGCCCTGGAGGTGGGGCTGGCGTGGAATGTGTTGTCTGTGCGCGTGCCTAACCTTGCCTAAGCAGCACTTTAGACCCTTGAGCTATCTCGCCGGCCCTGAGAGATATATTGCCAAAGATGCGAGCAGTTCCTCTGGTGTGGATTAAGGTGTGTGCACAAAGTACTGTCACATGTTTACAAAACTCATCATATTCCAGCCAAAGACACACCCCCACGCAGCACTACAGGCCCGACCACGTCTTGGTTTCTTTGTTAAAATCCTTCAACCTGGTTCACTGTGTAATTTTCTCCTGGGAATATATTTTATATTTTATAACAGAAGCTGATGAGGAAGTGGGTTCACTTTTTAGAAAACTGCTTTACAAGCAAATGTGCTATGTAACACTTTTATAAAGCTAGGGATACAGATCTTATCTCACTCATAGGAAACTTTTTTCCCCTTAAGCCTGAAGGGATGATGTGGACAACACATGTCTGCACTTGAGAAGCAAGATGCTAGGAATTGATATATGCAATAAAAGCGATCAACACAGGCCAAGTAATTACTAAGCACTCTTCCTTTGCATGACACAAAGACCAAAGTATGTGCTCACTCAACAGCCTCAGTGCACTGACTGTGCATTGACTAATTTAAAGTATATGTCCCGATTCCTCAGGAGCTCCTGATGCGTCCCCTGTTCTTTAATTTTCCCGTTGTGCAGAACCACAATCAGGTCTGCGTTCTGTATTGTGGAGAGTCTGTGAGCCACCACGAGGCATGTCCTCCCTCTCCGGGCTCTGTCGAGGGCCTGCTGAACCACCTGGAAGGGACAAGGACATGCAGTCACTGGGACAAGGTTCACATTAAGAAGCTTGCCTGAGCCAAGTCCACTAAGGTCACCTAATACCATTCTTGTTGTGGTTGCTTATTCCCAAAGGAATCACCCCACTTTAGGAAGCAGTCACCCTACCCAATGGAAATCTAGAAAAATTACACATGTTTTACGGCTTTCAATTTCAGAAAAGCATCTGAGGCCATGAATAGGAATGAAATGCTTATATATGATTTTAAACTCAAAGCCAAGAAGTAATATTCATTGTTGTTTGATTTTTGACACTGGGGATTAAATCCAGGGCCTTCTTCTCACTGAGCTATATCCCCAGCCCGTTAACTTTTTTTCTTTTATTGGGGGGCAAGGGGCACAGGGTTTTTGCTAAGTTGCCAAGTTACCCAGGCTGGGCTCAAACTTGCAGTCCTCCTAGCTTCTCATGGTGCTGGGATCATAGGCAAGTACCACCACACTGAGAAGGAAGTAGTATTTCTATATCTGAGTGGAATTGTCCAATATGTGAGCTCATTTTCTCTCAGCTTACAATGAGGTTGTAATAGTGTGTAGAAGAAAGGTGTGGAGGGTGGAAACCATTCCGTGTTAGACATATGAACTGTTCCAGTAGGCATTTTCTTTCTTTCTTTCTTTCTTTCTTTCTTTCTTTCTTTCTTTCTTTCTTTCTTTCTTTCTTTTGTGAAGTGTAGTTGGAAGATTTCAGTTCATTTGACCAACTTCTCACAGCTAGTAGGTGAAAGAGCCAAGGTTGTACCCCAGAACTGTGTGGTTTCTAAACAAGAAAGAGAATCACCTACCAATACCATGAATGGCTCACCTGTCTGGAAGTCAGAGACCTGCTACCAGCATGCAGGGAAAGTACTTAACCTTTCTACATCTTCAAGCACTAATCTGGCCCATTTTAGCAAAAGAGGTGAACTCACAAAGTTCTTGTGAGAATTGATACAATAGCATATAAGGTATGATTGAAAGATACAGTGAATGTTTAAATTAAAAAAAATTATTACAGCAAGACACATTGATACTAATCTCAGAGTATTCCCGCTCCTTCAGCTGTATCAATGGCCTGAATCAATTCAAACTGTTTACTTTTCAAGGTCATTTTGATTTTGGGGAAGATCTGGAAGCTGCACAGCACCAGATCTGGTGAAGAATGTCAATGAGGACATGCTGTAGTGTTTTTTTTTTTTTTTTTTTTTTCTGGAACTGGGGATTGAACTCAGATCCTTGCGTTTGCCAGTCAAGCGCTTATCCTACTGAGCCATCTCCCTGGCCACTGTAGTGTTTTTAGGAGCCTACCTTTTTGTTGTTAGAGGCTACTCAGCAGCAGTAGTATATTTTCATTTGTGTATTTGGTACAGGGTTTCACTCTGCAGCTCAGACTTACAGTGATCCTCCTATTCTCGGCCTCCTCAGCATGCACCATCACTCCCAGGCTCTGTCACCATCTTAGCGCACCCTGGGTGGCGGGGACAGCACAGCATGCAGGACCGGGGATCAAACCCTGGTCCCCATGCTTGACAAAGCAGGTGCTTTGTCTGTCACCATATTTTTTATTACATCTTGGAATGACACAAAAGAGACTTCCAGGACTGCTTCTGAGAGTGGTTAATAGGCTGAGCATGGTGGCACATGACTGTAATCTCAGCACTCAGGAAGCTGAGGCAGGAAGGGTGCTGTGAGTTTGAGGCCAGCCTGGGTTGCAAAGTGAGCTCAAGGCCAGCCTGAAAAGAGAGTGGCAAGAACAGTAAGTGTGTTTGAAGCAAGAGGAAGTAATACGAGGGGGACCAATGGCAATGTGTCTGTTATTGCAATACTCGTTAACAATTTAAGTTGTATATTTTGATTACACCATGTATAATAAACATTTGATAAACACTAATGATTATCATTCACTTAACCAATGTTTACTACAAAGGTGACTATGGGCACGAGGACATGAGCCACCTGCAGAGCATGCCGTGTGGCCATACAGCATGCTGTGTGTCTTACGTCCCTGTGCTTGTTTCCTGCTCTGATGGAGTTAATACCCTGGAGAAGGCTGATAATGGGCTCTGACATTACAATACAGATTATTCTTTTTACAGGTAGATTATTTTATTAATTTGTTTAGCATTCTTAAATAACAGTAAAATAAAAACTTTCCTCGAGTTCTTTCTTTGGAGGGACATTTCAACAATTTGGCACCAATTTTTTTTTTTTGAAGGTTTCAATTGTACTTTAGTTCTTCAACAGGCCATATTTTAGTGGATACACAGCCCTTTTACTTGGCATTAATTATGATTTCACTTAGAAATAATTTAGCAGCTGGCATGATTACTGATCTCGCCATTCCTTGGGGGTGACTCTGCCAACAGGGGAAAGGGTCCACTCTAGTCCATTTGTGTTGCTGTGTAGGTCCATGCAGCAATACAGAACGTGGCTGCACCAACTAACATAGCATTACCATATTTGTCGAGGAAATCAGGTGTACGTTTTCTGGTGGCTCTGCCTTGCTGCCATTTGTTGAATGCTTCGCACTGGAAAATGACCTAATGCTTTTTTGGCCAAGTGAAACCTCATGGAGTTGAAGTGGAAACGGTAGTTACTGCAGCTGCCGGCTTGGTGTAAATTACTTCTGGCACCTTTTGATAATGAGACCCGTTCAAGGAAGAAAACCTTTCTGGGAAAGGATGCCTTTTGTCTCAACTCTCTCCTACTCCCCAATACCTTCTGATCTTTTCTTTTTTGAAGGTCAAAGCCTTAATCAGATCCAGTGACCTGATGACTACAATTCTCTCTAGGACTTACTCTTCCCAAAAAACCCTTGACGTCTTCCATGATACTGCAGGCTCATATTAATGATCATCTTTCAGAAGAAAGAAGAGGATCTTACCTTTTCACTCTCATTGTCAAGGGCAGAAGTGGCCTCATCCAACAGTAAAATTTTTGGTTTTCGTAGAAGAGCCCTTGCAATAGCTAGTCTTTGCTTCTGGCCACCAGAGAGCTGTGCTCCTTTGAGTCCAACTGGTGTGTTGTATTTCTGTTACAGTAGCATGCAATTAAGAAAGCAAGCCTTGGTTATTTAAGTTAATATGCAACTGTGGGCAAGAACCATAGGACTATTTCAAATTTTGCTACTCTTGAAAATTTGTGTCCCAACCAGTGCTGAAATGTATTTGTGGGTTCTGTTGTGAATAAAATGAGCAGAAAACACTACCATCCCATTTACACATCAAGTCTGATCCCAAAGAGCAGACCTTTGCCATTATGCTTCGACAAAGGAGTTTTTTTAAAATTAAAGCATAAGAAAAAAAATTGTTGGCAAGAAGAAGTCCCCAGTAAACACAAATTCTTTTCCATTAAGTCATATTACCTTCTATTTTCAGGTCAAAGTGATTCTAACGATTTTAAAACAACAGAGAAATTGAGTTCCTTCTCCTTGACCCCTACTAAGCCTCTGGGGGCCTCTCCCAGCAGACAGTAGGATCTGGTTCTCAGAGGGTCATGCACCTTCCTGGAGATGGAACTGGTGGCATAACAGTCCATTTATTTTTCAATACCACCAAGTGCTTTTGATGACACCATTCCCCAGACCCTCCGACTTCCTAAGAACCTTTTCCTGCGGTGTTTCTTTCCTGTGGGAGTGTAAGTGAGGAGCATTTTCTTCATATCTTGAAGCTGACATGATCCCCCAAATCACAACTGGTCTGTTCATTTGGAATAAGCAGATTCCTGCTTGCTTTCTAGACTGTCCCATTGCTTCCTCCCCCCACCTCAAGGCTTCCCACTGCTTTCTAGTATCCCTTGGCAATTGTCTAAGGAAAATACGCCATTGGTATCCAGACAAGAACATGTGGATGGATGAGCCCCACTGAAAAGGCAAGTCCAGGTGTGCAGCCTTCCAGAGGAGAATCCTGTAGCAGCGGATGATTCACATATGGTTCATTCTGTTTTAACCTCTGGAAGAAGTGTGAGCAAACTGCTTTTCTCTCCACATCTGCCTGATATCAGAAGTTGTGTGTAGAATAGTTGCCCAGAGTCTCTGATACAAGCTTAAAACAAAGACATGTCGCCATCTCAGAGTTTTCTTCTCCAGCTTCAAATGTATAATTGGTTTTATATCAAACAATGAGTGTCTGAATTACCAAAGGCCAATGAAAGTGTCTTTTTCTAATGTTTCCCGTTGTTTTCCAGAGAACATAGACTCTAGCTGTCTTCTCTGGAATTTATCTGGGGCTGCCAGCAGTTAGTCTAATGACTTTGGGAATTTGGAACTGGAATTAAGAAAATGTGGACTTGTGTATCTGTCAAACAGATTGTTGTAAGACATCAAGATTGCTGTTTTAATGCCACTCTCTGCAGTCACCACAGAGCCTCTTGGATACCTGAAGACAAGACGAAGTTTTAACAGCTTGTTAATTTTCTTCCTTCCTTCCTTCCTTTCTTTCTTTTTTTTTTTTTTATTTATGAGAGAGAGAGAGAGAGAGAGAGAGAGAGAGAGAGAGAGAGAGTGTGGTGTGTGTGTGGCCAGCTCAGCCCACCAGGGGGCGGGGCTGGCTGGCATGTGGTGCTGGGGGATTGAACCGCGGT